ACAGTGAAATGCAGAAGAGTGGCATTCGTCTGAGGTGAATCCAACAGTAATTATAAAGCTGTACGGCCGCCGTGAGACGCTTTGATGCGGCCTGCTTGCGTATGCTAGCGTCAGAAATGAAACATTGAAACCTCGAAACATTCTAGGTGCTTAAATACATATTCTGATTCCGGCTAACAAACGTGCATGAACCCATTATGAGCAGCGCTATACCATGGCTGACGTTACTCGGGTTCTGGAAATGTAGACGAAGTGGAAAAATCAAAAAGAAGAAGCAACAATGCTGAAGAACAAGAAGATACGCAGCAAAAGAGCATTGAAGGTCGGTTATTTCAAACTGAAGTATTCGTGATGACAACCATGAGCTGAAGCCCTTTCTTGCTCATGTTACGATACAGGTTAGGACATACTGTTCACATGGCAGCTCTGAAGACTCAGGACTTTCAGTTTTTGCGGGATACGTTTGATCTGCGAATGTTGTTGGCGAAGTCAAAAGGATCAATCCGTCTGACCTGTGCATACAATTTGGAGCCATAACACCGCTACTGCGGGGGTGGGGGTAAGCCTAGGTCTTAATTCAGCATGAACAACATACCCACTAAAGGCCTGTATGACAACAATGCATAGTTTAAAAAACAATGTCGATGTTGTTTCCCACTGGTACTTATGCTACCAGGGGATGAAAGGCCGAGTGTTCATTGGGATGCCAGTGCAATATATGTTAAGCGCGGTGCGCGATGGCTTGATTAGTCGCATTTTGAGGTGTGTGGTGCGAACCTATGCTGCACCCACCAGATGGTGTTCACGATCAAGCCAGACTGAGAAGAGAGCTGTATGGGTATCCATAGCTACCTTCTGGTGAGTGGAAATGGATAACTAAGATGAGAGCGCATTATATCATACAAAAACACTTTTATCTGCATAGGATTTTGTTTCATTCGAATCAAAAGATACCGGTGATAACTGCTGTTTTACGGACGCTTCAGAAGGGATCTAGACAATGTTTGCCATTATCTAGCGCAAATTGCGCGCAAAAAAATGTCCCCCCCCCCTCTACTGGAGCCCAGAAGTGCGGATAGTAAGAGCCGGGTTGGCAGGTACGGGAGACAGTGGACTGTATGCAGCGCTGTCCCACAGGCCTTTAGCGCCGTGCTTGAACCGCGGTGAAGGACAGCTTGAGCTATCTGGATTATAAACGAATTGGAATTGCGCGAGCCCCGTTTGCGTTTGTATATACGGAGGGCTTACGCTTGAGTACCATTACAATAATACGACAGGAGTCGGACAGCTGGAACAAATATCCCAAAACGCCTATGGACAAACGTACCCAATGGCGTTGTTCCTCATTGTTGCCACGCACGCTTGATAATAACTGTGTACTGTTAACGACCCACCAGATGATCCCCACAGGATTTGGGGCTAGCCAGGTGACATTCGTATCCAGCTGGATGGCAAAGTAAGCTCACCGAAGTATTTCTGGGCTAACCAAGCTGCAGAGTCTCTCAGAAGTATCAGTACAAAAATGATTAGTCATTTTTCTCAAGTAATTTGAGGCTCCAACAGACCAGACCATTTTCTGACAGCTGGACAGTTGGGAAATTGTGGTGATACTCCAAATCTAGCAGGCTTTCTCTCATGACAACACGCCCTTTTTTGTTACGCACCTCTAGTTTGGTCAGCGGTCAAACAGACGTTACCTTTTGCAGTGGCGGCGCTTCCATTAAGACACTTCTGGCACTGATGCAGATATCACCCAGGCATGTTTTTAACGAAATCATTATCTTGAACCATGATAAAACTTCGCTTAGAACGACTTATTTCAATGCATTTAACAGCCTCAGCCTATCTTGGTTGAATTGTGCTCTGAGGTTTTTCAGAATGACAGATGTGTACAAATAACCACCAGCACATGACACTGATATGACATTGACATTGACATTGGATGAAATGACAATGACAATGACAATGACAGGGAACACACACATGACATTGGAGGGAAGTTGAGAAACTATCAAAAATGTATAACGTTTTTCGAGGATAGCCCCTAAACGCGGCATGTTTCACCCAGCTTGGGTGCATGATCACCAACCTGTACCCGGCTCGAGTGCAACATCACAGGTGTCATTTAAGCTCACGGCGCTCCTTCTGAGCCCGGTTCAGAATGGAGCGACGTTGTTGCCAATATCCAGCGCGCAGTGGCTTGCGGGAGCTGGACGCCGACAGCCGCCATGGAGAATGATACGAAAATAATAGTTATCGTTTCGCTCAATAGGTGACGCCTCCCACCGATTACGTGCGCGGGAGGTAGGTGAAAATAGTGACTCAAGAGAAGTTTCCTGCTCTCACTTTCGACCCCTTCAATTTCCAAATCCGTCTCTTTGTCCCCCAAAAACTAAGCAGATGTTTCACACGTTTTAATCTTGCAGTTATGCTGTCGTGTCTTAAATGATCAACTCGCCGGATGCTGCGTCAAGTCAACCAGGTATGCACCCAATGTGTTTTACTTTAATCTTTCGTGAGTCAGGCGTTTTTAAAACGTATTCAAATAAATTATGAGTCTGTTGCAAGCTGTGCGACTCATTCGGAATCCGATAATGTTGAATAACACATAGAGACAGATCTGAGTCAGATTCCAGCTAAGACAACTTCGATCCCAGAGTCAAATTTTGCTTCTTGCACGTCAAGTACTCATTAGAAGTGATGTGAAATGCACCATGCCCCCGGCTCTTCCCCATGGAGTCAGCATCATTTCAATCCAGTGATGCCCCCACTTCTCAGATTCAGGTTGCGTTTAGCTTACTTTTGCACTACATTAAACATACATGCCGATTTGCCTAGTTAACCAGCCATCTTCCTCAAAATGCACTATCTTTTTCGTTTGGTGATTGGCCATCGCTTAAGAGTCACAGCCGCAGGACCGACGCCGCGCGGCCTATGGAGACTGCAACGCCGGGTGTCGAGGCTGCTGTTGCTATGACTTACGAACGCGTATGTTCAAAACCATATTATATATTTTGCACCGGTGACCTATTTTAACTGAATCTTGAACATTGTAAGAGGAACGTTGATTAAATCTATTTGATATAGATTTGGGACCCCAATTCATCTACAATCTACGATCAGATAGTCCTCAACACGTCTGAAAGAACACATAAAAGTATTTAACTGGAGTCTATGTGACAGTTATTGGACCACCTGCAGCGATTACGGATGTTGCTGCGTCAGTGAGGGTTTTTGTGCTGATCCGGGGCCAACTGCGTCAGTCAGCAGGCCTCCCGTGTCAGGGAGGGGAACAATGTGATATGATGTACTCTTCCAAGGGCCTCCGGATCGACCAGGGGATTCCGCACCGCGTCACCAGAATGGCAGCCAGATGGCACTTAACGATTGGATGGAATTACATCAAAAGCTTACAGATTACAGATTTATCACCAGAATGGCAGAATGGCAGCCAGATGGCACTTAACGATTGGACAGATTACATCAAAAGCTTCGGCCCTTGACCGAAATAGGTAATGTGCCCCCGGTGTCCTGCTCAAGAGGCCCCTTGCTCGGAAGAAAACAAGGGGTCTCAATATTGCTGAATAGAGTGTGGGTCTTATTATTGTTGAATATGGACGGTGGAAATGAGCAAAAAAAAGACAAGGCTTATTATTGTTGAATACAGAGGGTCGAAGTAAGTATAAAAAAGCCATCCAATGTTTGCCTAAGAGCGTTCATTTTTTCCAAAATGGACTAGTGAAACAGATTACATCAAAAGGTTCAAACTTGCCGGCCGCAACCTCGAGAGCAAGGAAAGCGATTGCCTGGGTTGTAGCTTCCATAAAAGCCAACGGCATCGGTAACTGCAAGTGCCACCAGACGACGGGCGCCCTGTTAATCTATCTTCTGGACAGATTAACAGTGACAGAAACACGAAAAATGGAGGTTCTACCTTTACTCTCACAGCTCCAGAACTAGATTCCTGCACCACCTCGCGGTGCTCTAAGGGCCAATCCGTTCTTATCATCAGTCTAAATTTCGCACATGTGAAGTATGCGCCCAGACTGTCCTCTAAATGCAACACTTCATGTCCTGAAGCGTTCAAAAGTACTTCTTTCAGAAGCGTCATCATTTCGTCCACCCGTTGGTCACTGCTCAGTGTTAGCCGTTGGGCCGACGCTGCGCCGACGCTGCGCGGCTTCCGCGCAAGTCTTCTCCATCGCTGCCCGCGAGAAACAATCTTGAGTCAATCTTGAGTCACAAGCTGCGTCAGAAAGGAGCATGTTCTGATTTTCGAAGTTCATGCAGGCACAGCCACCCAATGGGAGACTGGAGACGGAATTACCAGCATTTCAAAAATACCTTTCCTGCGGAAGAGAACAGGGCTTCTTTAAGCAAAGCCAAACAAAAATAAAATCTTAAGTATGACTTAAGGCGAACCTAACGAGCGAAACACGAAGCGGGTTTTAATGTAACAAGCTTAAGAGACAATAAGGTGTGTTTTTGCCGAAGTCAAAATTGGTATCGTACCACTATCGTACCACCGCTGCTGTGGTGTTTGTAGCACGGTGGTCAAAAATAAAATAATTTCCAAGTGTAGCTTCTAGATCCTGTCCGCTCTCAGTTCGTCGTTGTATTGACTGACTTGGGGGCCGTCGGGTCGGGTCGTTGACTCGCGGTCATGATTGCATCCACGACTCAGTCGATGTCATTCGTCGTTTGTCAAGAGTGCGGGTCTTCTAGATGGCGAAGTTCACACGGGACTGACTCAGCTGTAAAACCGTGTGTGCCTCAACTGGTTGTGTTCGCAAGAAGCGAGAATATTTATCATAGCATAAGCTCGTAGGTGAATCCTGTGGAGAAATATTCAAGCTCTGAATTATTAAGAAACTCGGCAGATCATCGCAGCTCTCCGCTATAATACAAGATTCCCTATCATCCTTCACACCGAACAGCTGAGTGCAGCTCTCCATACGTACAATTCCGCCGCATTGGTTTCATTTAGGACCGCAAGCAAAGCGCGCGCGAGGGGCGCTATCGTGAATGGATGTATGTTGAGGGTTGTTCGGCGGGACAATAATCTTATAGGTATGTCTAAATAATGGCTACGGGCCCATTATGCTTGCTCGTTGCACGGCGCATACTTAACTGCCAGCAAGAGGTACCCGGCTGCCTTGCTGCGCAAAGAGGCGTGTGCAGCGCCGACTGTGCCACCTCTCGTGCGTAACGTCCGCTCGTACCTCAGCGATATGAATTCGGTCTGTTAACATTTATAAGATGCTCAGCACTCATGTGTTTCCTAGGCATATTGCTTGAGGATCACTCTTCCATGCACTAAGATATGGCAGGAATACTTACTTTTTGGGTTTCTGCTTGCCTAGCTATGTGGCCAGGTGGCACTTGGCTCATGTTTGACATGACTTCAAGCCACACAACACAAATTCTCATCTTGGTGCACATTGTGTCCTGCTTGATCTCTTTCAGCCTTTGATAGATGTGTCAGTCACCTGGCTGCCAGTCTGCCAGCCAGCCAGCCAGCCAGTCAAGCCAGTCTGCATACAATCCATTCACTATACCAAATGCAGGGGTGATATGGGCAGCATCGTAAACCTGATACCTTTGTGTTTTGAGCTCAGGTCCAGCCAAACTGCTAGAAGTTCAAATTATTTTGTGCCAAAAATTTCTGGAGCTTTCGCATGAAATTGCTTTGGAACATATTTGTTCTTAGCACATTGCTTCTTTCTCTGCCAAAATTGATGGCAGCACCAAACTCAGAGCACTTGGGTTTACAAGGGATGTGTCTTGAAATTTCTGCAGTGTATTGTATCATATTCAGTATAATATGTATTTTTTGCAGTATCACCTGCAGAGATGTTATTTTATCCTTCCTCAATTTTTGCTGAATGTTTTTGATGGTTTTGCTGTTGCACACCCTGTTTCCCATAATCCCATACACAAATGGTGTCCTGCTCAATCCCAATGCATGCCTTGCTCTCACAGGTAATGTGGCTGACACCAATTCAGTCTGGAACACACTCGTGGGCGGCACAGCTGGGGAGGGGGTGCAGTCAACTTCCCTGTGTGGAGGCCAATAGTATGTTTTCCCCCCTGAAAAAATCGGGAGGCCCTTTTTCGTCAAATAAAGGCATTGTAGCTACACCTAGTGTACCAGAGTTCATGTCTAGGAGCCCACCAGAACTAAGCTAGTGGGTAACAATTTTTGCTCACAAGACCTGGTCAAAAGATCAAGAATTAGCAGGCTAGGTAAAGAGACCCACTTTCTGGGTTTTCTGTGGTCTCCTACATAATAAGGTAATTAAGGGTTTAGATCAGGAGGCTCAATGTTGTATTGAGGTGTATCCTTTTTTGTTCACTCAGGAGGCACATGTTCAACCAAGCATGCTGTTGTTCTAGTTAAGAAGGCACCCACTATATTAAGGAGACCCCATTTGTGGAACAGAAACCCCTTTCCTTGCCTCAGATGGCCACAGATCTAGATCAGGATGCCCTGGTTTGGGATGGTGAGGCCCATTGGCTAGATTTGGAAGCTCCCTTTCCTGGGACAGAAGATGCTGCTTTAGGTTAGTAAGGTCCTTTGTTGGATAATTGGAAGCCCCATTCTATATTTTAATTGTCAACACATATGCATTTGCATACATGCAGTGATCTGAGAAGGGGGGGGGGGACACATGTCTGCAGGGTCTCTCCCCCTTAGGTGTGATAATGTGTGGGAGGCCTGTGTGGAGGCCCTGTGTGGAGGCCCCATTTTATCCAGGAGGGCCCTGGAAATCCTATGCCCCTATTCAAGACATGTGCCTCTCCTGGATGCATTAATGAAATTAGATCAGACATCAACTTTCAATTATAAAAGAGATACCAACATGTCATTACTTGTCATGGAGGATGGAGGCAATGGTCATTGACAGTGCTGAATTACCAGATAGTGTATCTTTTTCTCCACGTTCTGTCATCTGCAGAAATTTGAGGATGCCCTAGAGACTGGTCAGGCACTAACAGGTCTCAGGCCCAAATTGTTGTCTCAGGCCCAATTGTCTGTCCAAGTTTAATTGAATTTGATCTAAAAGCCAGCCAGCTTGAGAGTTGCATGATTACATTGTTGCCATTTGTTGCGTCCTTTTACATTGTTGACAACTCCCAGGTAATAGTTCCAGCATATGTAAGAAGTATAAACCTCATTTTTTAATTTTTTTTATTGTTCCCCATTTCCAGCAAATGTTCCTATGTCATAGAACTCTCAAATGGAGGAGGTCAATACCAGCCATGCAATATGATCATAAGTGGGTCGGCCAAGCTGAAGTTATACCTGACAAATGCTACTTGCAGTATGTTTGTATACATATCCCCACAACACCTTTTTACTACTTACATGATTATCAGTAAGTAACAACTGTCAATACATTATCTTCATGATTTGTGACATGGCTGCTATTGACAGTTGTGAAATGATTTTAGTGGTTTTGGTTATGCACAACTTGCTTCCTGTAATCCAGACACAAAAGTGTCACTGCTATAATCCTGAAGCGTGCCCTGCCCTCACAGATAATGTAACAGACACCATTCCAATTTGAAACGCACAAATTAGATTACATAGCACATGCACTTGCAGCTATAGGAGAGCTTCCAGCATGCCATTGCTTGTCACTTAGAGAGAAGCACTGGCCATTGGCAGTACTGAATTGTCAGATAGCTGGTCTATATGACCCTTTTGGTTTTGGTTTTCAATATAACTTTGTGGGCTGCAAGTCGACTATCCCACTGTGAAAGTCGCTGGCAGGTGTAAGAGGCGTAACTGGTTTCCGAGCTTATATTGTCGACCTCTCCGCTGATGGATGGCATGCCGCGCTGTGTACTTAGGCATATAACTAGCGACTGCTCGGTTTCAGCTGGCGGTCGGGCAGTGAGGGTGGCCGTCTGAAGTCCGCGCCGCCGCCGTCATGACGTCCATCATCAAGGTGCAGACGCTGACCGGCGCCGACGGCGAGACGCCCCACTGCCACCTGCTGCAGGTGGACGAGTGCCGCTTCCTGTTGGACGCGGGCTGGGACGAGAACTTCAACCTCGCCTACCTCAAGGACGTGCGCAAGCACATCAACCAGATCGACGCCGTGCTGCTGACGTTCCCCGACCAGGCGCACCTGGGCGCGCTGCCTTACCTCTTCGGCAAGTGCGGCCTCAGCTGCGCGGTGTACGCCACTGTGCCCGTCTACAAGATGGGCCAGATGTTCCTGTACGACCAGTACCAATCGCGCCACAACACCGAGGACTTCGACGTGTTCACGCTCGACGACGTGGACTCGGCGTTCGACAAGATCGTGCAGCTCAAGTACAACCAGAGTGTAGCGCTGAAGGGGCGCGGCCAGGGCCTGACCATCACGCCGCTGGCCGCCGGTCACATGATCGGCGGCACCATGTGGAAGATCGTCAAGGACGGCGAGGAGGACATACTCTACGCCGTCGACTTCAACCACAAGAAGGAGCGCCACCTGAACGGCTGCGACCTGGAGCACGTGTCGCGGCCGTCGCTGATGATCACCGACGCGTACAACGCCACCTACCAGCCGGCGCGGCGGCGGCAGCGCGACGAGCAGCTGATGACCATCATCTTGCAGACGCTGCGCGGCGGCGGCAACGTGCTGGTGGCCATCGACACGGCCGGCCGCATGCTGGAGCTGGCGCACATGCTCGACCAGTTGTGGCGCAACAAGGACTCTGGTCTCATGACCTACTCGCTGGCGCTGCTCAACAACGTCAGCTACAACGTGGTCGAGTTTGCCAAGTCGCAGATCGAGTGGATGAGCGACAAGCTGATGCGCAGCTTCGAGGGCGCGCGCAACAACCCGTTCCAGTTCAAGCACATGCAGCTGTGCCACTCGCTGGCCGAGGTGAACCGCATCCGCGGCCCGAAGGTGGTGCTGGCCAGCTCGCCGGACCTGGAGTGCGGCTTCTCGCGCGAGTTGTTCGTGCAGTGGTGCACGAGCGCCAAGAACCACGTGATCCTGACGTCGCGCACGAGCAGCGGCACGCTGGCGCGCGAGCTGGTGGCCAACAAGCGGCGCGCGCTCTCGCTGCAGGTGAAGCAGCGCGTGCGCCTGGAGGGCGCCGAGCTCGAGGAGTACCGGCGCCGCCAGCTGGAGGCCAAGCGAGCGCGCGCGCTCGAGCTGGCTGGCGACGTCGACTCGAGCGACGAGTCGGACGCCGGCGAGGCGCCGCTGACCGCCGACGGCCACGCGGAGCACGACCTGGTGCTCACCAACGGCAAGCCCAACCCGCTTTTCTACAAGTCGAGCAAGCGCCAGCACCCCGTATTTCCGCACGTGGAGGAGCGCATCAAGTACGATGACTACGGTGAGCTCATCCGCGCCAACGAGTTCGCCGTGGCTGAGGAAGAGGCCAAGCCGGAGCCGGTGCCGGAGGAGGTCGAGCCGGCGGACCGCGAGATGCAAGACGTGTCGACGGTGCCGTCCAAATGCCTCGCCTACTACCGCACCTTCAACGTCGCCGCCGGCGTGACGTACATCGACTTCGAAGGCCGCACGGACGGCGAGAGCCTTTACCGCATTCTGGAGCAGCTGCGGCCGCGCCGGCTCGTGCTGCTCCGGGGCACCGACGACGTCGTCCAGCCGCTCATCCCCAGGTTCTCGCAGGTGGGTGCCGCCACCGCTGCCGTATTCGCCGTGTTCGCATTCGCCGGGTACGGCTGGTGGCAGCGTGACGTGTCTGCAGAAGTGCCGACCTATGCGTTAGCGTGGGTTTGAGAGCCAATTCGGTGCCTTAGATGCAGTCAAGATGGAAACGCGACGGTCGCTCCCCCCGTTGAAATGCGTTCTTCCGCTGTTGTCCAAGCTGTGCTGAGATGTCCTGTTTAACGTGTCATGTACGAGCTTTGTGACGACCCTGGCCGAGCTCCCTATACCTTTGTGGATGAAGTAAGCCATCTGGGTGTGCCCAGCACATAGAGGCGTCCATGATCAAATCTCCATGGCCCGTGGTCCTGGCGAACGGCTATCGCTCCACGATACCCATGTGAATCGCCGGGCCGGTGCCCCACACTGGCCGGCCGGAAATGCCGCGCCAGAACCATCATCCGCACGAGCATGGGTTTGATATGGTCGGGTTGTATCATCTGGTCGGGAAGTTGATTTTTTTGCATTCTTGTGCTTCTTGTTTTGGAAGTTGTGAGTGTTTGGTTCGGTTGGCTAAGTCTCAAACGCCCCTCAAAATGACCGAGAGTGCGGTGCGGTGGCGTTCCTTGACGCGTGTTTTTTTTCTCCCGCCGTCAGGTGGCGGAAAAGGTCCTGGTGCCTCGTGCCGGCCACCCAGTGGACGCCACCACGGAGTCGCACATTTACCAGGTGCGGCTACGCGACTCGCTGGTCTCCTCGCTCACCTTCTCCAAGGGCCGCGACGCCGAGGTGGCCTGGCTGGACGGCGTGGTCACCATGGCAACCGACCAGCGACGCTCGGACGTGACGGCACCGGCCGCTGACGTCGCCATGGAGACGGAGGAGGACGCCGATGAGCCCATTCCGACGCTGGAGCTGCTGCCGGCCGACCAAGCGCCGAGCCACCCTACCGTGTTCATCAACGAGCTGCGCCTCTCGGACTTCAAGCAGGCGCTGGTACGACTGGGCATCGCGTCCGAGTTCTCCGGCGGTGTACTGTGGTGTTGTAACGGCACGGTGGCGCTGCGTCGCCAGGAGCAGGGCCACATCACCATCGAAGGCTGCCTGTCGGACGACTTCTTCCAGATCCGCGAGCTGCTGTACGGCCAGTACGCCATCGTATGAGGCCGACCGGCGGATAGGCCGCGGTGCGGGTCGTGGGGCGGCGAGCGTGGACGCGTCCCGTCGGCCAACAGCTGTGATTAGACAACGGCGCGTCGAGGCGTGCTCGGAGCGTGCGGAGGTGGCGCCCCCTGAGCGGCTCACAGAGTGCCCCAGGGGGCCAGAGGCCGGCACCGAAGACGCGCTTTCGAACTGGTGCTTGTCAGCGTCGTTGGTGTTTGCAGACATCACTTGCCACGATAGCAATGCTGGGACGTGACCAGGTGCATGAAGAACGGGCCGACTGCTGATGGTGATGTTGGCTCATGTGTTGCACTGCTGCGAACGCTGACGTGTGTAATGGGTTCCGGGCTTCTTTGCGATCCTGCGCTGCCTCAGTTCCGTTGGGTTATGTTGATCTCTGACAACTCGAGGACGCTCGCGGACTATGTGAATGCAATTGCTCCGGATGATCTGGACATCGTGCGTGCAGAATACACGCCGGACTTACAGGGAGATATTTCATACAAATCAGACATTTCAGTTCTGGGAGTTTGCTAGTCGTAAAGCGACTTGCCGATGACATAATTCCTTTTTTGAAGATAGAATCCAAAAAACTCGGTGGTCCCAACAATCCATTAAACTGCGTTTGATTCCACCTTGTGTTCAACTGTTGACAAGCCCCACCGCGCAGTTGCAGCCAATTGGGCGAAGAAGCTCTCAACCAGTTGTAGAACCGATTTTCTTCCACTTCTTACTATGCAATTGCGTTGGGCTCACGGCTAAACTTATCCTAAGCTCGGAAGGAGCATCCGTGCTGCTAAGTCCTTCCCTCATGTATCGCTAAGCGGAATAATCGCGTGTTCCTCGTCACTGCGCGAACAGCTGTTGGCAGACGCCTGAGAACCGCCCCTCGTTATGCCGTACGTGCACCTCAGTTGTCACACTTGATTGGGTCAAAGTACCAATGAACTTGAAAAAGCCAGACTAAACAGCTCCTGATAACGTTTTCGGAGGTTGTGAACGTTTGCTAATAGATAGCGTTTTTGTTCACAAACACGCTAGCTGCGACGCCTCAGAAATGTAAGCGGGTGGTGATTTCGAGTCTGTCATGGTCAGACGGACATCTGTGTACACATCGTTTTCTCCCATCGATGTATTTGATTTCAACATGGAGTTGTCTGGAGTAACCGCATCCCGGCGGGGGTGCTTCTTTTTGCAAACGGTTGCCCTCGCGCTCAAAAACAGCGGAAAGGAGGCTGGTGTTACGCCGTGTGGCATTGCCGTAGCGACAAAATACGGTGACTCGTGCCGGCGGAGGACCACCGGGTCCGATGACCAGCCGCGGGCACTGTCCTTGCTGAGGTCACCCGACCTTGCACGGAATCCCACGGAGACCGGCGCGGCAGCACTGAGCTGGAAAGGCCGAGGTATTTTGTAGCACCGCTCACCGCTGCGCAGGATGTGGTTGGCATAATGACCGGTAGCATTGTACGGATGTGTTTACTGGTAACTAAAACAACTGTAGGTTTGTATTGATGTCTGTATCTGCCATGCTTCGAAAACACCGATGTTGCAGAAGTTTCTTCAGTAATAATGGTCTAATTGGTAACGGCGCTTGGAATCACGACCGATTACAGGATCGTTGCTGCGACGTGGAATAATTTGTTCCGTCACAAAGATTTTCTGATCTTGTTCGTGTGCTTAAATTCGTATGGCATAACGTTACGGATAACATATATTATGCAGATTAACAAAGTACAGGATCTCCAATTACTTTCCCTTACTTTCCGCCTACTCCCTGAGTTTCTGATATCATAGGCTGGTAAAGTATACGGCCTAGTCCTGTCCTCAAAATACTATTTGGGCCCTGTATCGCTCACTGTTCATAAGTTTTTTTTTCAACGTTGCCCCAACATGACTAAACTTGAGGGTCGGGCCGTAACTGATTTAGCTGTAAACCCGTGTGACTGGACATTGCATATCACAAGCATGCCACTGTTGCCCCGTGTAACGGATTGGCCCTTCCCTCCGCCGTAATTTCTCATGACGCCGTGAACCGACCACTCACACATCCTGGCAAATTGACTGCGCGGCTCGAGGCATGTCACACCGACCACACTGCCCTCCGTTTCGCCGAGTCGCCTCTTCGGCCGGCGGGACGCCTCGCTGCTCTGGCCAGCCCTGCCCTCCATCTCGCCGAGTCGCTTCTCCGGCTGGCGGGGGCGCCTCGATACCCCGCCCCTGCCGTGGTCCACCCTGCCCTCCATGTCGTCGAGTCGCTTCTCCGGCTGGCGGGGACGCCTCAGGACTTCGCCCCTGCCCTCCATCTCGTCGAGCCGCCTCTCCGACCGGCGGGGGGCCTCGAGGCCACGCTTCTACTGTGGCCAGCCCTGCCCTCCCTCCACCTCGCCGAGGCCGAGCCGCCTCTCCGGCCTCGAGGCGCGCCACAACGGCGGCCCGCCCCGCATGGCCATCAGTCTGGAGACGGGGCTTGCGGCACGGTGACCGGTATCACCGCGGGCGGCCGGTGACGCGTGGGACGGACGCAGCTGCTGCCGTGCATGGTCCGGCGCGCCGCCCGGCCCGGCCGCCACTCGTGCGCCGCTCTCGCCAGCGACAGGTAGGTGAGAGTCTCCGGGCCAGGGCGGCGGCGGCGCCAGGCGGGTGGGTGTACGCGAGGCCCGACAGGTCGGGCGGGACGGTGGTCCAGTGTTTCGTTCCGCTGGTGGTCGCTGCGGTCCTGGACGTGATGTACGCAGCTTGCGGGGCTACATTCGCGCTGCAGTGATCCGAGGTCCCACGGTTGTCGCGCAAATAGTGTTCCAGAAGCGAGTTTTCATCCCGCGCGCAAATGTCCAAAAACGAATGAAATGCCGCAGCTATCGCACGTGCATTGCGCGCAATATTCGCACGCGTGTAAATCTGCAACTAAAGGTGCGTTGGATCAATCCATGTTGAATTCGCTTTCGAATTTCTGACGTGCCAAAGCTTGCTGCTGAAATCTGCCTCGTCAAGATACAGCCCTGAGGGTGTAGAACTCGTGAGGCGCGCTGTGACCACCCCACGCGCCATGACGAAGGCGCTGTTTACATCCGGACTGGTAGCTGAGTCATCGTTAGCTGAGTCAATGAGTCCACATGACCGCCTGCTCACCACACTTCTCTGCCTGTTGTCTCGTTTTGAGCTCTGCTATGTTGCGAATGATGGCTATGGGGCCGCCGCTCTTCCCGCGAAGCGCACCTTTCCCACGCTTCGCCAGTCTTCTACAAGACGCACCCTTTATTCAGCCCCTGAGGAGCATTAGCCTCCACTCTTCGCCCATCCTCCCTAAATTTCTACCCCTTATGTTTTACTCACTTTAAATTCGGCTTCCAAACGTTCTGTCTCTGCCGTGTTAGTGAGACACAATGCGTTAGTTCTGCCGACCCGCCGTCGCACGCGCGCCACCAGCACGAGAAAGCTCACACCGGAAGTCCGGTTTTTTATTCGCAAGTTCTCCGAGGGGGTACCCGACTGTGAGCACTGGCATGCCCTTCGTGTCTGCGAGGGTGACTGCAGACACAAGTCACGTGCCCATCCGATGCGCGCGTCGGGCCGTTGGCCGCACTGTGCGCCAGCGCTGGGCGCGCCCCTGACGGCACCGCGCGCGCTCAGCTGGCGGCTGCCGTCCAGGGGCCGCGCTCTGCTCGGCTCGGCGGGCCGACGGACGCCACAAGTAGGCCGCGGTCTCGCCGGGGAGCCGAGGGCCGTGGCTGGGCTGGGAGCTGACCGGGCGCCAGCGCAGGCACTCCGGCGCGGCAGGAAGGAGCCCCAGTCGCTCGGGCGGGACCTCTGAGCATCGGCCGGGTCACTCAAGACCTCTGAGTGACGGCTGAGACACTCAAGACTTGCGAGCGCTGGTCGGGTCACTTGAGTTTTCTTGAGTGCGAGTCAGGACACTCGAGGCATTCGAGTGCTGGTGGGATTGTTCAAGACAGTGCTGTTCGGGACAACGCGAGACCTTCAGTGTTGGTCGGGCCGCTCGTGACTTCGGGGTACTGGTTTGGTCTGTTACGACGTCCGACTTCTGACTAATGAGCACAGCAAGCAGGCAGCACACATCCTACTTCGGGGATATTTCAGCGCACATCGGCCAGGTAAACGTATAACCTATAGACAAAGCGTGACTTCTCTGGCGAGCGCAGCTGGGACAGGAGCAGGCATCGTACATTGTCCGCTTGTACTAACATCGGCAAAACGTGCACTCAGTATGCATGCCACTTGCTTTGTCCGTGACAACCCTTGCATGGCAGTTACAGTTCTGCGCGCTGTTTCCCTTCTGGCCCATCCCAGCAGCGCCGCGCGTGGCCCGCGGGTCTGTTGTGCACAAGCCTGACCCGGCACTTTGCACGGTCATGAAACGCTCGGGAATCAAGGCGCCTGAAATTTTAGCCTTCAATGAGTTTAGCCGACGTGGAGCTATGTATCCCACCCGCCTGTCTCATGTGCGTGACGTTTAGTTGTCCACACGTTGCCGAGATAGCCTGGTTTCAGAGCTGTGAGCTAGTCTGACCCCAATTCACTTCCTAGTGGGAAGTCACCGGCCCCCGGTAGAGCACGTCAGGGAAGGTCTGTACATCCCGCTTTGTTTTCGTTTGGTTTCGCGCGATCTTTCTACAGGCGCTATTTTGAAGTTACGGGAGTAGGGATAGATGACTACTAAGTTACAGGATTAGAGGGAGACAACTACGAAGCTGCGGGATAAGGCAGTGAAATAAAAGGTTGGGTTGTGACGTGGGCCTTTGAGTCATGTTGGGTCCGAAGGCTCAGAAGGTTGGGTTGTGACGTGGGCCTTTGAGTCATGTTGGGTGCGAAGGCTCAAAAGGTTGGGTTGTGACGTGGGCCTTTGAGTCATGCTGGGCCTGAAGGCTCAAAAGTTTATCCGATAGCTGCCGTGCTCTAAACTCTCAGGAGGCATAGCATGCGCGGGTGCTGGACGGAGCTGACAGCCGGGACAGCTCGAGGTCTCGCTGCCTGGTGAGTGACTGATAGAATCCCTGTCTGGCCAGGCGTACAGGGACGCAGGACATAGCGCGAAGAGGCTGAGTGCGATGTGCACGCTCAGGGCAGCGGCAGCGCCTGTCCGTCGCCTCCGTTTCCATCCCGAGACGTGCCACCGTCCACCGCACTCAGCTACCGATCATGAGTCTGCGCTTCCGAGGCATATTGAAACCGGTCAGATTAGTCATCGCTACTGGCTCAAACCGTCGCCAATTCAGCTCGTGAAAGCTGGGTGAGCGGGTGGCGTAAGTGCACCGTGATGCGCACTTAAACAAGGTCAATTCCGTTTTAAATATTTGTGCTTCAGTCGAGCCACGTGCTGCGTATGAGCACGCGCGCATACACGCGTGGGTAGCTGAACGCCGGCATCAGCAGGGATCGCGCGACACTTGGCCAGCCTTCTCCGGCACGCACGGCACGTAAGCGTTGCTGGCATTAATCTCCCTTAAGGTCAGCCGCGATTCACGACATGCGCTGCATTTATATTGCCCCCAAACTCAAGAGCGTGAGCGGCCGTTCAGACAGTCGGAATCACACGTAGCTGTTGCCAATCAATTCCGTGGCTGTTGTCAATCATTCCATATGCTCGCAAAATCGATGGACACGCACTTGCCGGGCGGGATTGTTGGCTGGACGTCAGCCGCTGATCCGACTCGTCCTCGGGTGACGTGGCTAGGGTCCGGGCTGCGGCCATTCCCCTCCCCGTCCGTCCGCGTGTCGCGTTTGGCTATCCGCCGTGTCCTGGTGTTCGCCTCCGCGGCGGTCGCGTGCGCGCGGCCCGCTGCAGATAACGACCCCGCGCTGTCATCCCCGGGGTGGCGACCAAGGGATGGTGGCCGGCTCAGCCAGTGGTGGCCGGCTCGGTCAGTGGTGGCCGGCTCGGTCAGGGGTGCCCGACTCGGTCAGTGGTGGTTGGCTCAGTCGGGGGTGGCCGGCTCGGTCAGGGATGGCTGGCTCGGTCCGTGGTGGTCGGCTCAGTCAGGGGTGGCTGGCTCAGTCAGGAGTGGCTGGCTCGGTCAGGGGTGGCCGGGTCGGTCAGGGGTGGCCGGCTCGGTCAGGGGTGGCTGGCTCGGTCAGGGGTGGCTGGCTCGGTCAGGGTGGCTGGCTCAGTCAGGGGTGGCTGGCTCGGTCAGGGGTGGCTGGCTCAGTCAGGGGTGGCTGGCTCGGTCAGGGGTGGCCGGCTCGGTCAGTGGCTGGCTCGGTCAGGGGTGGCTGGCTCGGTCAGGGGTGGCTGGCTCAGTCGGGGGTGGCCGGCTCGGTCAGGGGTGGCTGGCTCGGTCAGGGGTGGCCGGCTCAGTGTGGGGGCAGCACATGCACCGTAAATCCACCCACCGCCAACTCAGAGGACTTCCAGGTTTATGTCTCATCATTTGTAGCCTACATGCCAAGCGCTGAGTATGAATGCTGAGGGTACGCCACAGAAAACACTCTGACATCGATCTGCTCTCCGTCTACCTTCCCGGTGGAGGGGGGGGGGGGGTCGACCTGCGTGTGACTCCGCCGCGTGCTGCGTGTGTCGCCGCCGCCGCGGCCTGGCTGACTGAGACCTGACCCTGCGCCCTGTCGGCAGGATGAGGGCCGGCCTGCTGTTGCTGCTGAGCCTGGCGGTGGCCTCTGGCCTCGTGGCCGAGCCCCCCACCGTACCGCCAGCTGCTGCGAAAGGTGGCCGCCAGCCAGGAGCTGCGCCAGTATATGCGCCAGGACCCCAGAGGGAGCCAGTCGAGCCCACCGATCGGTGACGACCTCGACAAAACCACGGTACGCCACCCGAAGTCGCGGAGCTCGCTGTAATCCCAGACCCTCTCGTGCGGTCACCCAGCATGCGGACTAAGCCTCTACCGTATTGTTCAGAGTATATGACTAGGCCGTTGTCATTGATGCTTTATAAGCTGGCGTTGTCCTAATAAAGCAACTCCAGTCGTAAGTCACTGCCCTCTCAAACCTCAGGTGGTCTGCTTTACCAGAAGTGGCCATCATTTTCATAACCAGAATTTTCACCGTTTGACCATGTTCCATGTCATGTTTTCTGATAACCTTGTAGTTGAGGTTAAAGAAAAGACACATAGTTGCAAAGGGCTGAAATTCAGAAGGGCACACGCTATCCACAAGGTTTCGGGAAAAGCGGACAAGATTCAAACTTCCGACAAACGCTCCGGAACAAAAACCATGAAGTCGCAAGCAAGAACAAACAACATATCTGGTCACGCAGGCTTCGACAGTGAGGCTCCGTCCTATTAACACCGCTAAAAGCCCAATCTCTTCCAGCCGAGGCGCCATAACTCCCCCAATCGCAGCCCGCTGTGCGGAGCCGGGTCCCGGGCAGCGTCCGCGCGCCGGGACCGCCACACTCCAGCCACGCCAGACGGCCGTTCGTCGGCAGATGTGACGCATTTGGCGCTATCTCACGGCCGGCGCGTGCCGCGTGTTTTACACCGCGCGGGCTCACGGGCGCTTGGCTGGCGTCACCTCTCGCTGGGACGGTGGCAGCTGACGTCTGCGCGTGTGATATGGCATAGGTGTGGCGCCGTGACGGGCAAGCGACACGCTCGCCCCCGGCCGGAGGGAACGTGCCAGATGTCACGCAGAAAACATCGAAGTTGACACACGGTGATTAAGATGCTCAGACCTGACCTTGACTGCCAAAGTGATATCCAACATGGCGATAATGTAAGAGTACCAGATGGGGACATAGATCCGGACAGCGAATGGTCAGATCTGGACAGCGAATGGCCAGATCTGGACAGTGAATGGTCAGATCCGGACAGCGAATGGTCAGATCCGGACAGCATGCGAGCCGAGTGTTCAATGGCTTGGAATTGACAGGATAACTACGCGTTAAGACCGAAACCAAATGACGTTATACGCGTGACAATATCACAGCCATCGATGGAGCCGTGGGTGTGTGCATAGAAACCTCAAACGAGGAGGAAATTTTGAATGAAGTCATGATATTTGCCTGGCATTGCTACGCCATAAGCTTTCAGCTGCCGTTACTGGGCTCAAACAGACATCATATATTGCTGTGTCGCTAACGAAGCACTCTGCCGGTGACGGACCACTCTGCCGTGATGGACCACTTCGCCGATGACGGACCACTCTGCCGGTGACGGACCACTCTGCCCGTGACGGACCGCTCTGCCGATGACGGACCACTCTGCCGATGACGGACCACTCTGCCCATGACGGACCATTCTGCCGATGACGGACCACTCTGCCGATGACGGACCACTCTGCCGATGACGGACCACTCTGCCGATGACGGACCACTCTGCCGATGACGGACCACTCTGCCGATGACGGACCACTCTGCCCGTGACGGACCACCCTGCCCGTGACGGACCACTCTGCCCGTGACGGACCACCCTGCCGTGACGGACCACTCTGCCCGTGACGGACCACTCTGCCCGTGACGGACCACCCTGCCGTGACGGACCACTCTGCCCGTGACGGACCACTCTGCCGTGACGGACCACTCTGCCGTGACGGACCACTCTGCCCGTGACAGACCACTTTGCTTGTAAAGGACTACTCTACCCGTGACGGACCACTCTGCCCGTGATGGGGCACTCTGCCCGTGACGGATCTCCGACGGACCTCGCCGTTCGTGACATCAACCCGTCTGTGACATCAGCTGGAGCTGATCCGGGAGCAGGGCTACCCGGCCGAAGAGCATGACATCACCACCGGCGACGGCTACATCCTGACCGTGCACCGGATCCCGCACGGCCGGGCGGGGCCGGGCGCCGAGCCGCGGCCCGTCGTCCACCTCCAGCACGGCCTGCTCTCCTCCAGCTCCGACTGGATCATGCAGCCGCCCGAGAGGGCGCTCGGTATGTGCGGCCGCGGCGACGCGCGCTCAGGCATCGGGGCTCTAGGGAGCTGGCCTCTAGGGAGCCTTCAAGCGACGTGCGCTGACGTGCGTCCTCAGGGGATCAGGTGACTGGGTCTGACAGGCTCCCGGGAGGACGCCAGGGATGGACTCCAGGTGGGCTGCCGCGTCAGCAGTGTGTCCTGGGACGGCCAGCGTGTTCACGGAGCTCGGATGGGCCGAAGAATCGCGTGGCCTTCAGAGAACCAGCCCCTTCCACAGAGGTGCTTCGATGCTGCTCCATGGACGCTGAGCCGAGCGAACGGCAGTCCACCGACCACGATCTGGTCGTCGTCGTTGGAGCGCGGACAGTGAAGTGGTCTGTCGTGATTCCGGCAGTGGTACCGCGCAGGGAGAACGTGGCCAGATGTACGGTGGAGGAGACCATGGCAGAGAGTACTCCCGGTGTGAGGAAAAGCTCAGATGGTGGGAAGCAGACTGGGTCAGAGCCTGGAGAATATTTGAGACTCCGTTGCGAAGACCTGTGTCAGGCTTGCGACGGATCCGGTTTTCTGACCTGCGTGTTGTGTCTCTGCTTCCCACGTGCTCGGAGTTAGGTGACGTTGCGCCTCGATTTGTCGCCGTGACGGCCTTGATCTGCGCCAATCATGCCTGTGGCGCATCGCGTCACCATTTTCCGTAGCTTAAGAGATGACGAACACCTGAGAACGTGGCAACGACATGAGTATTGTGTCCGCGTGTCCCACTCGTCCCCGGCAGTCCCGTCATGTCAGGGCCTCGACTCTGTCTGTGCACGGCGAGCTAACGCGTCCTGTTGAGCTGCCGACACGGGCTGAACGTCAGCTGGCCTCTTTGCTTTGTGTGCATGCGCCCCGCACTGCGTTTTTTCCATTTGCACCGAGGCCATTTATCTCATTTGGCCCACCCTCCTACCCTGGTCCATCCGCACAACCCCGAGGCTGACCGTCACGGCTGCATTCATCATGACTGGGCTCTGTCCATCCCGGCGAGTCACAACCTGGTGGGCCTGGCCCTCCCTCGCCATACATGAATAACCTGGGGAGCGGTTCTGCCCGACCTGACCAGACCAAATCGAGCCTGACCCGGCTCGACATGAGCCAGCGTGGTCCGGTCTGACCTAGCCCGGCACCCAACCACCTAACCTGACCTGACCAGACTCAACATTGCCTGAACCGACGTGACCTGATCCGCTGAAGCCTACCCTGACCTTACCCGGTCTGACCGCATCCGATCTGGGATCCAACCCTACCCTTCTCTTCCCTGCCCTGCTCTGCCCTGCCCTGCCCTGTCCTACCCTGCCCTGCCCTGCCCTGCCCTACCCTATTCTGCCCCGACCTGCCCTGCCCCGCCCTGCCCTGCCCTGCCCTGCCCTGTCCTGCCCTGCCCTGCCCCGTCCTGCCCTGCCCTGCCCTGCCCTGAGCTGACCGAGCCTGACCACGTCAGCTGGACCTGATACGAGCGCGGGGCTACGCCGCCGAGGAGCACACCGTCACCACTGCCGACGGTTACCTGCTGCGGCTACATCGGCTGCCGGGCACCGGCGCCGCCGTGCTGCTCCAGCACGGCCTGCTGGATAGCTCGGCCGGATGGCTGCTTAACCCTCGCCGCCCTCTAGGTGACGTCAGCACGCCCCGGCTCAAGGGAGAGAGGTGGCCGGCGGTGGCGGGCACAGCTGCGAGGCGCTGCGGTACTGACCGCCGGCGCTGGGGACGGCAGGGTGCCGTGCATGCTGAACGCGCTCCGCGTAGTGTAAGGGCGCGGTGACGTGACGAGGAAGGCGATGCTTCGCTGCGCACGGAATCTCAGTGTACAGATTGCTGGTATTTGCACGGACGTACTGATTTCCTGACGTCGATTGCGTAGTGTCGTGCCTCCGAAGCTGTAGCCTGCGTGCGCCCCTGTAACTCGCGGTGGTGGTGTCACTTTCAGGTGATTTCAGTATCCTCTTCGCTCGCCATTAGCTCTGCAATCACATTTCTTCGGTGACGGTCCCATTTCATCACCCCGTGCCTCTATTTCATGCTTGTTTCTCAGCAGTGTTTTTAACGCATGCGTGCCAAGTAACCCGGTATGTAAAGGGAGTGTTCCACATTTGTATGATATTTTGAATTGAAAAAGCCATTTTGAACGTCATTTGTGCAGCTCACAGCCCTGCTCTTTTTAATACCTAAACGCCCTCTAGTTTCTGAGCTATATGCCCGAAAACATGTGCTGACTTTTTCGTTCAAACTGTCTGAAGGCCATTCAGGCACGCATGACGCCATGGCAGCGCCACTTGAATCCTGTCATGAGGTATTGAGGAGCGAATGTACTAAATAGTCAAATCGTGTTATTTAGAGCAGACTTATGGCATTTAAAACCATATCAGTCTCTGCAAGGGTGCTTGTGTCGCATCTGATGCTCGCTTGAATGTCTTGAAAGGTGGAACATTCCCTTAAAGTGCGACTCTGGCAATGTATTTTAGCACCCTGTCGTATCCTGTCGTCTGCTATGTCGTCTCCCTGTGTCGGAAACGATGCCATGTGCTGTTACTGCATCGTTCCATCTCCAATTTTGCTCTTCTCACTTGTGTCATTATGTCTGATGCAAGTAGCTTTTAATTGTTCTTAAATTGCCCACTGCTGTGTGTTGGCGATTCGGCGCATGGGGAAGCGGTGCAAAACACACATAGTTAGCACCACACAGTGTGAATTTCGGCGCAACGAATGGGTCAAGGTGATTACCCATCCCTGGTGGCACGGGGCCGCGACCGCCTCGAGTGCTGCTTGTCGCACATCCCACATTGTCTGCGGCCCGAGCGTACCCAAGTGAAGCGCTCAGCGGGGGGGTCCGAGCGTGCCCAAGTGGAGCGCTCAGCGGGGGGTCCGAGCGTACTCAAGTGAAGCGCTCAGCGGGGAGTCCGAGCGTGCCCAAGTGAAGCGCTCAGCGGGGGTCCGAGCGTACCCAAGTGGAGCGCTCAGCGGGCGGCCCGAGCTGGACCGCCCGAGCCGAGCCGCCCGAGCTGGGCGGCCCGAGCTGGGCCGCCGCGCTGGTGGCCGGCTGACCCTCGTCCGCGGGCGGCCCACAGCCTACATGCTGGCCGACCGCGGCTACGACGTCTGGCTTGGCAACGCCCGAGGCAACACGTACTCCCGCCAGCACGTCAACATGACCAAGGACGACCCGGAGTTCTGGAAGTTCACGTGAGTGGCGCAAGTCGGCGAGGTTTACGAGCGGCTGTGGCAGGGTGGTGGCTTTCATTCTGCTTGTTTAAGGAAAGACCATTATTGGGAGCAACGTCTAGCTAGTCTTCCTTATTACCAGGGGAGTGTATCGCAACGTTACACCTTTGTAGAGCGGTGCTACTACGTCCCTAGCGCGCCCGGAACCAGTGCCGGAGCCGCGTGACCGGAGCGTTGGTACTGGTGCTTCAGGTGGGATCAGATGGGCCAGTACGACTGCCCGGCCATGATTGACTATATACTGCAGACGACTGGCCAGGACGACCTCTACTGGGTCGGACATTCCATGGGTGAGAAACGGAACAGGTCACGCAGGCACCTCAGTTCACTACCGTAGCAGTCTGCTCAGCTCTTACAGCTCACTGGCGCAGCATGATTGAATCTTTGTTGGTCAGAACCAGGATTTAATTTTGTGTTATTACTGTCATGGATTTTGTGGATGCCTGTGTTATGCAGATAAGTTGTATCGCACTCCACCGTAATCAAATTTTTCTTACTCTCCCTCCGCTCAACTTGTATCATCCCGTTTGCAGTTTCATTCAGGTCGTATCCCGCTGTTCCTTAAAAAAAAACACTTTATCGCATTTCGTACTCATACGTGGACTTCCCTATCACGCCAAAATGCGAAGTTTTCCGTGGATGCTTTGTCCCCTCGAAGAAGAGATATGATACAGATGTTCTGGAACCGCTGATGCATATGATGTCATATATATATATATATATATATATATATATATATATATATGTATATATATAATGCGTGCGTGCGTGTGAAACGACACCGGCTTTCACCGGCATGAGGCTCCGCTCCGCCCCGCTATCAGCTCCGAGCTTAACCCTTTGGTGTTGTCGCCCTAGGCACCACCATGTTCTGGGTGATGATGAACGACCACCCCGAGTACAACGACAAGGTGCGCCTGATGCAGGGGCTGGGGCCTGTGGCGCGTGTCGACCACATGCACTCTGTCATCAAACTGCTGGCGCCCTTCGCCAACGAGATCGAGGTACGCATACAGCACGTTTGTGTGGCCTGTGTATCATGACGTCATTGCTGTGACACAGCGATAGGTAGTCCAGGCATCTGATGCGTCACACAGTCGTGAATGGGAGCAGCACAGCCGTTTGCAGTGAACACCAGGAGACACGTTGTTGCCATGTGCCCATTGCTTGAACATCTCATGACCTCTTAGCCCCGCCCCCCCCCCTTCGAAGACAACTAGCATCACACCGCGATGACAATGCCTTAACACGATATTGCTACCGGTTAACGGGGACCACTTTTTTGGATGAACCTCATGACATTCATCGAAACTCGTTGTTTGGACATGCTTTTTTTCTACAGAGAAAGGGGCATATGCTGCGCGTGTTCACGGTACAAAACGGCTCCGTTGTTTTCGGTGCCAGTCAGTATGGCGGCTTCATCTGTCTAGGTCGTCAGAAGGCTTGGTGTACAGTATGGTGTTTAAAACCATTTAGTTTATATGTATATATATATATATATATATATATATATATATATATATATATATATATATATATATATATCACGTGTTAATGCTGGTAGCACATCACTTAATTCACCTTCGATGGCAGTGGAACACAAAAGTAGAGACAAGCCTTGCAGACCGCATTCAGGATAGCTGGGCAAAGAGTGCCACCAAGCTCAGACTTAACGTACTACTCTTCTCCTTACTGTTAGATATCAAGTGCATGAATGGAGTGAAGGCCCCGCCCGTGATCCCGAAACAGTCCAGGGCCACGCCGTGTGCGGGTAAGATGGCTGTCCGGTGGTGTCCTGAGCACTAGAATCACTTTCTCGAGAACGAGAATCACTTTGCCGGCGATGGAAGTGTCATGTCTACAAAACGATGGTTGTATACGAGGTCTGGTGGAGACATCCCTGATGAGATTGTGATCTGCTGGGAAGTGTCTCACAGGGCTTTTTCGTATGGGTGGCTCTCTTCTGAAAAGAGTCTTCCAGTCGCCAGTCGGCCAATATCCGACCGCGGACAATACACGGAAAAGGTTACTGCTATCTCTGTCAAAAGTGAATTGTGCTTTAATGGTAAGCACGGGATCTGGCCGGACCTGGCAGCGTCTCACCGCGCCTGACGCTGCTCGCCGTGTCAGTGATTGGGTCGCCGCCCTCCCGTCGGGCCCAGCGCTGCTCGCCGTGTCAGTGACGGGGTCGCCGCCCTCCCGTCGGGCCCAGCGCTGCTCGCCGTGTCAGTGACAGGGTCGCCGCCCTCCCGTCGGGCCCAGCGCTGCTCGCCGTGTCAGTAACAGGGTCGCCGTTCTCCCCTCGGGCCCAGCGCTGCTCGCCGTGTCAGTGACAGGGTCGCCGTTCTCCCCTCGGGCTCAGCGCTGCTCGCCGTGTCAGTGACAGGGTCGCCGCTCGCGCTGAGTTCGTGCAGGCCGTGAAACGGCGCCTGGAGGCGATCGTGGAGACTACTGATTCCGTCTCCCTGCGCCAGGTGGCAAAATATCACCATTTTTATTTCCACCAGCTCGCAAGTGGTGGGCAGATTGCTGGGTTGGTACCCATGACGGCCTCGCGGAGTTAGTCCCTGGTAGACACGTCATTAGAGCAAGAGACGGATTTTTTTCCCAATGGCTGCCTGATCAGCCTGGCGGGTTTGAAATGTGATAAGGAGTGGTGGAAAATGGGTAGCGTTTAAGCGAATGCTAAACAAGCGAAATGAACGATATGGAGCTCCTCGTGGCTCAGAGATGGTGGTGGAGAGCAAGGATCAGTGAGGTCTATAGGTGATACGCTGGGCGCGGGTTTTCCAAGGGAAACGATCATCTATTGGCAGCGACGGCGGATGAGGAGAGGAGGCAGGGGGTAGCTCCTCCCTCCCCAGAAGCGAGGAAAAATCCCGTTTGCCTCCCCACTCCATCTCCACAGAACTTTCGCCGCCACTGTTCACTAGTTTGACCAGACCATCTCAGTGAACGGCGACGCTGGCAATGATAAATAATCAACCAAGTGCTTTCGTCGCAATTGAGTACAGTATCGTAAATCCACGCCACGAGCATGTCCACATTGCGGTATTCCCGTTCAGTCAATATCCAGCGGTACCTGCTGGACCCAGTGCACTATGTCCACATGGTGTTTGGTGGAACTCGAGCGTGGAAACCCTTGATAAAAAAGGTGCACTGGTAACTCAACACAATATATATGTATATATACATATACATATATACGTACATATCCTGTGCATGCATTTATATATATATATATATATATATATATATATATATATATGTACATATATATGACATGGTGTTTATGCGTGCGTAGGTGTGAAGGTTTGCAGGTGTGTGACTGTGAATATGTCGAGTTAAAGAATCAAGAAAGCCCAAACATAGTTGATAACTACCTGAATACCATCACTTCCACCTTAGTATCCACCCTTAGGCCTTAGTATCACTCCCCCCTCACTCCCTATCCACCTTTGACTCTTGTGTACAGAGGCCTTAGTATCACTCCCTCCCTAGTATCCACCTTTGGCTCTCGTGTACTGAGGCCTCCAGATTTGTTGTGTGAATCACGAACAAACTGGTGTGGCAGCCATATCACGCGCGCGTATGGTGCCTGTAGTACATCGGTAGTGTACAGTCGGCACTCATGCGACTGCCCACCTGTGTCGTCTTGCTCGCTGCCGGGTACACTGCACGCCGTGACTGTTTTCAGCCGCTGCTGCAGTGGTTCGGTCGGGGTGAGTTCTTACCAGCTGACAGTCACTGGATGCACATTGTGGAGAAGTACTTCTGCGACGAGACCAAAGTGGAGGAGAAGGTGTGCCGCAACGTGCTGTTTGCCATCGGAGGCTATGACCCGGGGCAGTTCAATCTCGTGAGTGGTGCCGCCCGGCCTGCAGCACGCCGGCAAGCGGACGACACCCTCGGCAGCATGCGCCGGCTCATGGCTGTGACGCACACAACTCACCGCCGGCGGCGAGGCCTGCTGTGGCGACGAGCGGGGCGAGCCGGGGCATGACAATGCTTGTCCGCTCTGCTCTCCGCGAAGAGTCCTTGGCCTGACATGTTGATCTGCACCGCGTGGCTCGGTCTCGGGTCTGCCGAAACGGCCGACAGCTATGGCTACCCTATTAACCCCTCCAGTGCATGATATGCAAATGCTGAGGCGCAAGGTGACCGTCTGTTTGGCAGGCGCTTGCGGGATCTCTCGGCATACCTTCCAATGGTTTTCACACAGCCTTAACAGGGACAGCTTCTCACAATCGCAGCACGGCGGTGTATGCTAATTGCATGCCGCATGTTGCATGTCTTCAGAAGCTGGCCGAATGGATCGGCTATGACGAGTTTCTGCCCAGCAACGAGCTGATGACAGTGCTGTCTGAACTCGTTTGTGAACCCAACGAGATATCCGACTTCATATGCGACGATATCCTGTTCGTCCTGTGCGGCTATGACCCCAAGCAGCTGAATCAGGTAAAATCCACGGCTGTGCTTCAGTTACGTCAAGAGGAAAGCTCATGCCTGATCTCAATTGATTCATGGACTTAAGAGTCAACGGATCACCGTAAACCAGATGGGATCACGTATTTGTCTAAGTTGTGTTGCAGGTTATTTTGTGGTTTCCTGGTGCCGTCACGAAGCTGTGAGCAACACATGGTATTAGGCCACTCGGGCGCTAGCCAAGCTATGCATGGCTATGCAGCCAGCATGGCTTCTTCCGCTTCAATGTTTGCATGCCTTGCATGTCACACTAATGCACTATGAACTATCCAAAAGATTGTCCAGTTTGCAGTAATGTTTACTTTGCCAGTTTGTCATGATAAGTGCTTGTCGAAAGGGAAAACGCCGAGTTACTGTCCTCAAGACTGATACTCTATCTGCGTCATGGGTGCATGAACCAGTGGCTGCAAAACAAGGCGGCCGCGGCTGCGCGTCAGAATCAGTGCTCCTCACTGTCCTTGCTTTCTATTGGACCTGGTCAAGGACAGATCCATTACGTGGCAATCCGTCCCCGGGTGCGAACGGCCGTGAGCGGCCGACACTGAGCTCGCTACCAATTAACATAGCACAAAGGCGCTAATGCAGAGCAATACGCTACGTTGTGGCGTGAGCGCTGCACTTCGCGTCGCGCCGACCGTAATCAGCCTGAGTGGTCCCGGGGTGCGTTCACAGACGGCGCTGCCTGTCATCATCGCCCACACGCCGGCAGGGGCATCCACGCGAACTGTCGTGCACTATGCCCAGGAGATCAACGCAAGTACGTCGGCAGGCAGGCCCGGCCGTTCACGTGTCTGGTGTGTGCGGAGTGATGGCAAGGCTGAGTTTTGCCGCCCCTGCTGTCTGGAGGGGGAGGGGGGGGGGAATGCTGGATCCTGTTGTCCAGCGGCGCTGGGCGCGAATCCCCGAGCGAGAGCCTTGTTTGGCCGATTGACATGACAGCGTTGATTGGCAGATGGCCAAAGGGGTCACCTAGCTCGGGAAGGCCATGCCGTAATGTCAGACGGTACGTAAAACCCTCCGTAGTCCCACCTGGCGAAAAGGCTGGAGGCAAAACTTCCCGTGCACTGGATTGGCCAGCCCTGGATGATGGGTTTAGGAAACAGCAACCAAGCTCTGCTTAGGAAGCAGGAGTGTAGTTCCTCATATTGAGCTGGGAGGGGGGGGGGGGGCAGGAAGTGAAAGTGACGCAACCCATCCACAAAATACCCCAGCAAACGGTTTCCTACTGAGCCCTTCTTCCAAATTCGAGGAGCCTCCTCCCCGCGTCTTACTGTTGTAGCTTGGTGATAGGGAATTATTTTAAAAATTGTGAAAAGATATGTGACCCTGGTACCTCTAAACCTCTTACCATCTCTGCCTAACTGACTTGCAGAGGCCTTCGTGCACTTTGACTGGGGCAAGGATGAGAACATGCGCCGCTACGGTCAGGCCACACCGCCCGAGTACAGCCTGAACAAGGTCACCTGTCCGGTGTCGCTGTTCTGGTCCGACAACGACCTGCTGGCCGACCCGCAGGTACGCCGCCTGGTGGCGGGCGGTGGAACTCACCGCGACGCCCGCCAACGCCGGTGGGTTGTCCTCCGACTGCATGGAGGTCAACGCCCGAAATGCGGGCGGCTGCTAGAGAATGGGATCCGTTTAGAAGCATATGAACCAGTGGTGTGATGGACACGTGGGTTTCAGAAGTTTGGGCAATTGCTGGACCAATGAGTATATGAGTATAAGCTGGGAAATGACCGTTTTAAGTGAATAGATAACGGATAATCTGCTCCCTCCCCCCCCCCCCCACACACACACCTGCACGGAACTAACACCCTTTGGAAATGCAGTGTTATTTTGTCGGCCTTTTAGGCACCAGTGGGCTACTTAGAGTCGAGCTTCATGTGCGTCGAGCATGTCTGTAATGAACTTGTCTCGGTAATTTCGTTGTGGAGCTGAGCAAGGTCAGGTGATTGCTGCCAACGCCTTGTAGTGGCGATCTTTAAATGGCGACACCGTTGCCCTGTCAGGAGAAACGCTCATTGGCCGATGCGGTCGTAGATTCACACTGATATTAACGTAACCGCCGGGCCGAAATCTGTCAGCACCGTAGCCGTCGGGCCGAAGTCTGACAGTGACGTAACCGTCGGGCCGAAATCTGACAGTAACGTAACCGTCGGGTCGAAATCTGACAGCAACGTAACCGTCGAGTCGAGATCGTCCACAATGTCATGTTAAAGGCTAAAAACTGTCGAGTTTTAGACCGTCATTCCAATGGGTTCCGTGTCATTGTTTTGACGTGTTCCTTGTCTAATGTACTGGCCTTCACCGGTATGCAGTGGCATAGTTTTTGGCCAGCCGGCCGGCGCGCACAGCCGATACAGGTGGGGCGGGGGGGGGGGGTGACAGCACGCGCTCGGTGGTGACGGCCCGCGTCTGGCGCCCCAGGACGTGACGTGGCTGGCGGAAGAGCTGCCCAACATTGTGGAGAAGTACCGCGTGCCTCTGGCCTCGTTCTCGCACCTGGACTACCTGTGGGCCATCGACGGCGACACGCTGGTGTACGATCACCTGATCGAGAACCTGCAGAAGTACTGACCGCTCACCCACCCGGACCGGCCGGCTGGCTCCGGGCTGGCAGTGCAGGCCGGCCGTGCTTCGTGGAACAGCCTTTGACCGGACCGTGCAACCCCGACCGCGCCTGGCGCTGTGCACACAGGGCTCGCTCGTGGCTGTGGCGCCGTGCGTCGAGGGCCGGGCTTTGCCGATGGTAGAGCTGAGTGACACACTGGTGCTGAAGCAGCGCTGTTGAGAGTCGCCGCATTTGGAGGCAGGTGTCGGGAATGGCACGCGTCTCATCCGGTCACCGAAGCGTTCTGCGCGGCGGTGTCACAAATACATGCACTTACCCACCGTGTGTCAGCATGTTTAGATGACTCGGGAACTCCGGGCCTGCCTTCCTCTGGAGAATGACTGCCGGGGATGAGACAGCCTTCTCAACGGCGAGGTCCCTGCGTACCGCGTCTTTTTATGCAGAGTCTGGGCATAGCTTCAGCGGTGGCAGGCACTGCCCGCACATCATCGCAGCCCTTCGCGTCGATGGTGGGAGACTGTTTGGTCGTTAGACAGGCTGGTCTCCCGCGCCCCAATTGTAATGTTCCTGTGTTCCACACGCTTTCTTCTTGATGTTGCACGCTGGTACACCAGTGCACCACTGAAACCAGTGTGGCCCGCTTCCTGATGGTCCATGGGATGGTGTACAAAGTCCGGGAAAGGCCCAGCTCGAGTTGTCCGAATGGTGGCTGCGAGGAACGCGGAATAACCAGAGCCCTCTGCAAGCAAGGTCTGATGCCCATCCTTGCATGTGGTGATGGTGACTGGCATGCCGCCACCTCGTCACTGCACGTCACTGATAACCCTTGCTTATAACTGACGTTCGCGCCGACTGGCGGGTGGAGCGGCACCCAATGTTGGCGCTACGTTTTTCTCAAGCGCTCCTCAAAGCAGACGAAACCAAAATGATGATATTGACAGAACGTAAACGGAACGTATCGCTTCCCATAGAAACACCCGGAGATTTTAGAAATATGTATTTTACGAATGTGATAATCACCGCTAGAAAATTAGCTCAGTCAGGCGCGAATAATCGCAACGGCATAGCCGCAAACGATTCAAATATGAAGAGCTAGACAGAACATCATTCCATGTTCATGCTAAGTAGATGCCAGCGTCTGAACGGATTTAATTACTAGGATCTCTGTTTTCGCAATAAGATAAGAGACATCACAACTTAGGTATTACAGCACCTGTTCACGAAATAAAATGCAAACAATTTAATCAACACATCAATAAAAATATCAACAATGTTTAATGAAAACCAAAGGTCCCAATCATCGGAAGGTACAAGCGACTATATTGCACTACGTTGCAAGGATGACAGCATGGATGAAGAAAGTAGCAAGCAGTGGACCAACGTTTTGTCTTCGCACATGGTCCGGCGAGAAGTCTAACAAACATGTGGCAGCACGTAAATAAAAGACTGAAGCATCCCCGATAGTATCAGTGGACAAAACTCCATAAATATCAAGAAGAATAGGTTCGCAATAAATACCATAATAAATGCAATAAATATTATTAAATAAGATAAACGCAATACAAAATCGAAACAAGAATCAACGTGAAGTGAAGAACGTGACCTATGTACAGGTGAGAAATGAACTGCATAAGTCCAATGCGAACGAGAATGTTTCGTGCACGCTCGAGGGGCCAGCGTGCCGAAACGGCCACCTCAGCTGAAGTTGAGCGACCGGCGAGCCTTCGTGTTCTCCTCGTAGTAGATCTTGTGGATCTTGAACGGGGCGCAGGTGTAGGCGAGGCTGAGCCGCATCCTGCGCCGCCACTTGGCCTTGGGCGGCGTGCGCAAAATGGTGCTGACACCGTCTGCCGGACGGAGATGCGTCACGTCACCAACAAAGTACTTACGTTTTCGGATCAAGTTCACATCGTGCGCCCCCAGCTGCTTGAGCGGCAGCTGAAAGACCATCCTCAGCTGACCTATTCCGGGCCTTCACCTTAACGCACCACGAAATGCACGAGCGGCATTCTCAAGCTGAAATAGGCCATGTCCAGATGTCCATGATGCGACATTCCACACCCATGTCGGGCGCGGCTTGACAGCGGTTCAGTGAGCGCACGCGCCTGACCCCCTCACCCTCGAGCGCGTCGCGGTCAGCCCAGGGTCCGTCGAACGCCAGCGATCCGGACACGCGCAGCAGGCGCATCGGCACGTCCGGGTCGTCCACCTGGGAGGAGCTGTCGTAGCTGCTGCACAAACTGCCGCAGACGTCAACACCACCCGTCAGATGCCTCCAGTCGGGCCGCACTGCGTCGCAAAGGCAGGCAGTCAGTGAGCAGTAACCGTTCGCAGTGGGGTCGGCATACCACCCATGGAGCGCTTGACGGCATGGGGTATATCAGACGTCTGCGGTATCAGCAAGCGTAACTCTGCTCGCCGACCGTAAAAAAGTGACACCCGAGCGCATGTCGTGTTCGGAGGTACGTTTCTTTTCTAGCCCGGGATGGCTGTTGCGTCGCATATTGCCCCATGTGGTGCCGCTGCTCCTATTCATAATGGCTTCTTCGTCATCAGCGGCAACACAGTATTTTGATGACAGCCTAGAAAGCGTGCCTTGTGAGCGCCAATGACTGCCGTGAACCGCATTTCGGGATGCGATGTCAAAAGCTGCGCAAAGCTGAACTTTTAGTGCTGGCTTCAAATTTGTGAATGTGCCGCTGATCGGTACGCTTTCCAAAGTCGCGTGACGTCGGATTTCGGGTTTTGACGATCATCACCATTATTTTCAGCTAAGAGCAGCAGGCATCATCTGCCCGTGGCTCCATGGGTCGCGCTGGCAGCCTGCAGATGGTTTACGAGGTCACTGCCGTAGTGGCGCCGAGTCCATGTGCCAGCCAGCCGCACTAGCGTAGGCTTCGGGGATTAACCAACAGCCATCAGAGCTGCGCGGCGCGTGACGGCGGTCACTGGCCCGCTGGCGGCGGCCTCTGGCGCCTCATGCGTCACCTGAAGGTCGAGTCGGAGCCGGCCGAGACGGACGAGTGGCGAGAGTGACCAGAGCCGGCCGGCGGGGTTAGCAGGCTTAGCGCCAGCAGACTGGACGTCAGCGTGGCGTCGTCGCTGCCCTCCGGGCCGGCCAGCGGTGCCCGTTTACGGACGCGCCTGCCGGGCCAAGGTCGCTGTCAGCAGCGCTACCCTGCGCCGCGGCGCTCGGCAGCACCGCGCCGTCATGTGCAGCGCGTCCAGCTGCACCGAGCAGGCTGAACGGTCGCGTGCACAGCGTCACTGGCTCTGTGTAGCGAAAGCCTGAACCAGTAAGGCGTAGAAAAGTTCAGGTGCATGTGAGGGTGCATGCGTTCAGCATCTTAGCTTTCGACGCTTGCACATCTACGCGCTCAGTTTGAAGACCTCACGAGTGATAATTTAGCCGTCCATGTTATGACGGTCACGATTTGCCTTAATGGCCAGGACGCGTTCGCTTGTTGCAGGATATGCGCTCCAAAGCACTGATCTGTACCAATTTTCCCCATCCCATCATAGCGTAAGAGGGCGTGATTCTGTGTTAGGGAATGAGGATATCGCGTCATCCGAGGTCAAGCTGGGTAACATTACTCCTCCCACCGGTATCTGAAGGGTGTCGGGGAGGCTTTCAAATTACCTGGCTGCCGTTATTTGACCACTTAAAGGTAACTTGCCCTGGTTACACTTATGTTACGTCAAATGATAATGGCGAAGTGGGCGGGGCCTGTGAGGCTCCCTCGTCCGCTGTCGAGGTGGGGGAACCACCCGCCTGGCGGGGCTTGAAGTCAACTATAAGACTGCATCACAACACTCACCAATAAAGCAGGGATGCCGGCTGATCTCACGGTGACGGCTTCAATACATATGTGACCTGGGTGAGCACTGCACAGCATTGGGTGACACTTGGCTAAAAAACAACGCTGACATCGGTACGCCATTCATGTCGTCGGACAGTGTCGAAAATGATGCGTTAAACTGATCTCGCAATCTGATGTGCTCCGCACACCGAGTCAGCTGTACGCACGCCAGCACCAGCCGCGTAAGTATACTCGACCGGTTAGCACACGGCACTGTGCACATCATCAGTGTCGATGACTCTCTGAATACCATGCGTACCGATTAGCAGACATCAACCCATGATTCTGTCCTCTTCCTCACACATGGGAGGAAGGCGGTTCTCCCCTCACACGCACTGGGCCACAGAGAACGCCTAAACTGGTGTTTTGCACGGAGGCTTGCCGGGTATGCTGTATTTTATCCTGTTTTGTGGATGAGCCATTCTGAGATAAGTTGAGCACTGTAAAAGGTCATAGTACCTGCCCTGTATTGGAATATTGCTAATGTACAATCAGGGGTGTTAGTTGTTGTAAGTGATGTCGGGGGTCGAGCTGCTTGCCCGATGATCTACCCTCCCCCTTCCCAAAATGTATCCCTCCCAACGGATTTAGCCACGTTATTTTGGCAAGCGGCAACTTTTGGCCCTGAACTTAACTCACCTATCAGTTTTGAATTGAGCAGCACAGTATTCATAATAAGCAAATGTCCGTCTGCATGTTTTAACTTTTTTCCTGATTTTTTTTCTGGAATTCCAGCTGAATATTGGGGCCCAAACCAGCCTTGGGAGCTTGGGAAAGGGAAGACGCGGTCATCATACAAGAACAGAAATCGTCACCATGTGCACGATATTTTTTACATCGCAGTTTCCCTTCCATGAGACCGCTTTACGCTTACGTCGCCTGATCAGACGGGAAGCAAGCCTTCAACCAATTACATTGTCGTCTCTGATGTTCTGGTCGATAGCAGCCCGCCAGCATGCGCAAATCTTCTGCCAATGTCGAGTTACCCTAGTTCAGAGTCCAGCTTTGAAACATACCCAGTAATGGTCGGAAAAATGCTTAGGACAAAAAATCCTTACGGCATTAACCACGTGTGCCCAAGGAACGAAACGCCGATACAGAACGCAAGTCTCCCCAAAGCGGCGCATTCTCACCTGCAAATGTGAGGCACGCGCTCAGCGCGGCTGTACTCGTGATGCGTGACGGGCAGCTCGGACTGCAGGAAGGTCATGACCCGGCCCACGCCTTGCAGGTACACGCCGAACCAGTCGAGCTCGCAGGCCTCGGCCAGCAGCTGCTGGGTGCGCTGACACCGGTCGGCGTCCACGCACAGCACGTACAGCCGCAGCAGCTCCTCGTCCACGCAGTCCGCCGAGCCGTTCTGAAGAGGTTCCGATCCATATGCCACACACGTCGAAGTCCACATCCACACGCACGTTAGCACGGAGGATATGCTCGTCGGAACAGAACGCTAGTTGAAATCCAACAATCGGAATGATACTTATCTGAGTAATGTCAAGTCGCTGGACTCATTTCATGGCAAAATATTATAGCATACCTTCCAACATGACGCTATTCGATCATCTTCTAGTACTTTTGGTGGCATTTTTGCGCGTACTTCACAATTCTGAAATGCCCTTATGATCACATGCTAAAAGAAAGGCCCAGTTCGAGCCATCTTTCTCTGCGCTGTGCCAATCGCCCTGCACTACCACTGTTTGAGAATGCATTGAAGGAGGTATCAGCATCCGACATGTCTGTTCAAAATCTACCTAACTGTGCTTGGTACTTACCACTGAACACATTGGCTGCGAACGATGATCCTGATAAAACGTCGATTCCAGGCAGGCCATCGATGCCGATTTTCATCCAAGAGCACAATCCTGGAAATACATTTTGAATATTGGAACACCTTTGCTTGTATCCGCAACTGCTGAACAGAAGCCACTGCAATCGACGAAGCAGCAGCGGGGCACCTCCATCAGCCTCATCATATCTTTCTGAACTACATATATCGCTACGTTTAAGGATCAATTCTGGATTGAAGTATTACTTGAATGTCCCCTCCCCCTCTCCTGTAATGACACATTCGCGAGAAAGCGTTAGATCCCACTGTGAAGAATACACCAGCGCATCAAAAATGTTTGTGTATGAATGCCGCATGATAAATAATTGTTGAAACATTACGGAATAGTTATGTTCCACGGTAAAGCATAAACAAGTATGATGGCATGCTATCTGGAACAGGGGCGTGTGGGTTTACCCGGGAGTAAGAAGACAGAACAAAACGAAGAAATAACGATCCACGATCCACGTGCCCGTGGTGCTCCCCCCCCCCCTCCCCTACCATGAATGGCACTGCCTAGGAGCCCCGTCCCCCGGTGAGGAGGCCCAATTGTGTTCAGGAAACCTCCCGGAAAATTGTGGAAAAATATGCTGTGCCACCCCTTCACAAAATATGCTGTGCCGCCCCTGTTCCAAGACGGTCTGAATTGGGCAGAAAACGACACATCTCTGCACTTCGAAGAAAACCTAGGCAACGCCGGTCAAAACTCTTTCAAATACAACCCACCGAGGTAAAAGGCAGCACATACCGATGCGTTTTATTTTGAAATTAGAATAATCTTATATTTCGGAATGGCCACTCCCGAAGCCGCGGTTACCCCCCCCCCCCCCCCACACACACACACTAAGGCAGCGGCGGTGTAGATCCACTCTAACCTACGGCTTAAGTTCCATCCTTCATATTGGTGTAGGGACCGTTCAGAACCTCAGATACCAGCGTCTTCGTGAGTTTTTCCTGTTCGTATGCGCCGTAGGCCTCCTACCAAATCAGGAAATTTGAGGAAGGTTGCCGCTAGACGGTGGTTCAGAATCAATAGTCCACGCAATCCCCAGGATCTTCAGGCCGACTTGTACCCCCCCCCCCCCCTTCCCCATTTACGGTTACCCCACGGTGTCAGTGTCCCTGCTTGGGAACTCAGTAACTTACGTGAGGCGTGGCCTTGGCCTGATTTGTTCGAAGTTGGAAGGTATTTAGGTAGGTACGCAGGCCTCGAGAGATGCCTGCAGAATGCGAACAACCGAACCTAGTTCTACAGAAGCCGACAGAAACAGGCGATCTTATAATATGCGTAGAAATAGATGGCACACTCCAGTTCAGCTCAGCTTGCGACAATTTCCAAACTCGATAAGAATCAGTATCACCAACGCTGTAGAATTACGTGAAACTAGCAAATCGCGGCAATCAGTCCATCTTGTTTATTATTTTGCCACCAGCGGTTGCGGGCTGCGGAGCACTCGAGTATTCATTCTGTTTGAAATGGAATACTGTTGCCACGCAACCGACAGGAACTATTTAAAAAGAGTAACGAACGCAATGACGTGCACCATGGGTTACAAGCATCCGCTGACAAAGCAACAGTTTCTCAAGCTTATGATCAAGGTTTCTGCATTTTGGCAATTTTAAGAGGTCATTGGTCTCGTAAGTCTGGTTGTTCAGGGGTTAAAGATACCGGGTAGAGTAAAGTTCAGTACAACAAATTGTAATGTAAACTAGAAATGACTAGATGTGCAGTGTGGGCCAAATTTTCAGCTTCTACTAAAGCATGCAACTGAATACGGTAACTAAAGGTAACGTGGCGCTGGTGCTACACTAGTGGATGCCTTTAAAATAAATAGAAAATGTTGTTCCCGTGATTGCTGCAAGGGACTCTCGAGGAATTGTATGGTGCAGTACACTGGCAGCATGCATATAATGCAAATATTTTGGCTGATAGCAAATGATTAGCACATTCCATAGGTAACTGGTTAGCAACTCTAAAACGCTCGGCTTCCAACACACAACCTTTCCTCTACACATCCGACACGCTACCGCTTGAGCTATTGAGACCACCGTCCATGTCACGAAAGTGGAAAAATTCACGGCGTACCATGCACGAAAACTTTGACCCGGCGCGCCGTGGCAGTTTGGCTTCTCTAAACAGGCGCGGAACACTATAGGCTAGTGGGAAAAGTACGCCGTAGAGCGGTTGTGCCACCGACATACTTCAGAAATCCGCCCCAAGGATTTTGGGCTGGGAGTTATGGTTTCTAAATCGATTAAGTGGGAGGTAACGGCCTGTAAGGCTTATGGTGAAGGTTTGTGCGTTTTAGCAATTCTGAGAGGCTATTGACCTGGTAGGCCGGATTGAACACTCAGTGGCGGCGCCACAGATTTGGAGTTAAGACGGAAGATTTTTCAGGAGGCCTCCAAGACAAAATGGAGTTTATCGCGGGGTCCCGTTGCCAATTTCGTATTCAAGTGGGATCCGCCGGGACGTATCTCTTGTCAAATTTTTCACAGAGGCGTAGCTTTGTAAAAAGAGATAAACTTCCAAAATACGCCAACGACGGGTTTCTTCCCAGATTTTGCCCTCTATTCTCAGTGTCAAGGAGATGAAATGCCTATTGGAGAACTGGAATCGAAAATGGCCCATATGTTGGTCAGACAGCATCAGTACTGCACAGTCGGCTTCTTGTCGACATGGACCTGAGGGCTCATTTCCTAAGCAAGGAAAAAGCTGGGGTCAGCAATTTACATTTGTCGGCACCCAGCGTCTGCCAGGGGCCAACAGTGCCCGACAGGGGGTCCTGTGTTGGCAAGGGGCCCGGGTTGACGAAGGACGGTGCTCAATAAGGCCAAGGAGGAGCCAGGGGCCCATCGAAACCAACAGTCACCAGTCTGACTGGAGGGCATTAGGACCCGAATGGCTGGCTGTAGGTTAGCTGAAAGATTCCGGCCTGTAGGGCCGTGACCTGAAATATCAGTTAGAGGGAGGGTCTCTTGTTTTGATTGAGGACCCCTGAGACAATGTGAGCACCTATGTCGACCAGAGGTCACCAGCACTGAGTACTTGGCGTCGTGTCGGTCTGAACCCTGAGAGCTCATTTCTCAAGAGAACAAGGCCGGAGCCTTGCATTGATCTGGATCTCTGAAAAAGTGAGCAGGGCCCCTGTGTCTGCCAGGGGCCCACGGCGCATAACAGGGTTACTGTGTCGGCAAGGGGCCCGGAGTCGCCATGTGGAGTCGTGTTTGACGAGGCACGAAGAATTCTCGGGAAAACAATTAAGGACCAAATTGGACCGGGGCCGATGCTACCCGTAGTTCTGTGACCTAAAATGTCAGTCAGTGTACTTCTGTTAGGGTCCTTTTATTAGGGGCCTCTATCGCTAACATAGGGGGCCTCGACACGAAGCTACACAGTCTGCTTCGTTTCGGTCCGTGCCTTGGCCTTTAGTCCCGAGCAGGAACAAGGCCGGAGCCCGCGGTTTGCCATGTTCGGGGTTCTCGACACGATGAACGGCTCCAGTTTTGGCCAGGGGCCATCAGTGCCTAGCAGGGATCCTGTGTCGCAAGTGGCCCTGAGTCGGCCAAGAGTCGTATTTAATGTGGCCAAAGGGGGGGGGGGGGCACGAAGGGTCTCTCGAGACAAATTAATCGAGAGCCCGGTGGGAAGGTTAAAGGGCCCGAAGGGCTGGAAGGGCCGAAGGGCTTTAGGTCACATCTAGGAACCCATCGATGGGGCCATGATCTCAAATGTCAGTAAGAGGGCCTCTTACACCGATTGGAGGCCCTTGAGACAGTGTGTTTAGTTCATTTCGTTCAGAGATCACCAACGCCAAACACCCGGCTTCGTGCTGGTCTGAGCTCTGGGGGCCCATTTCCCAGGTAAGGACAAGACCGGGCACACGATTTGGATTGGTCGAGCCCCTGCAACAATGACAGGCTTCTGCGTCGGTCGGGGGCCCACAGTGCCTACAAAAGTGTCCTGTGTCAACAAGGGGCCTTAAGTCGGCTAGGGGAACATTGGCTGAGCAGGGACGGGAACGGGACACCGAATGCGAGAGGGTCGTTTGCACTGGTAGGGACCCTCCCACAATGAAAGGAAACCTGCTAAACTGTGATCAGAGTTCACAGTGAGGCAATGGTAGGACCCTATGCCAGTCAGAGCCCCAGTACCAAACGGTGGGCCCTCCAACCCGATTCCAGCCATGTTCCGTCAAGCCGAACTGGAATCGATGTGCCATTTATTGCACTGCCTGCAGCGATCAGGCATCTTGTTGCGTCAATCAAGGCCAACTGAGAGGGTCAGAGGGCTTTCCTTGTAAGGGAGGGCACCAATGTGATCTGATGTGTCCTTCTGAGGACCTCCCAGGACTCCGTGCCAATATCTTGGACTTGCAGCGTATGCTGCATGTGAAAAACCCGTTGGCTGTCTGCATCCATGAAACATCCAAGCCGACCAGGGGCACACCTATGCTCAAAGATTATACTTTATTACGAAAAGACGTAGTTACGGATGCCAACGTCTCGGAGGTGTGGCGATAGTCATGCATCACAGTATCCCATCGACATCGATACTACCACAAACCGACATACAGGTGGTAGCTGTGGCTGTGCGCCTCAGCTCAATTACCTTAAAATCTGAGTTCCCTATGCGTTCGACCATCGGCAAATGTCTTGCCTAGGATCCCTTACTAGATGATAACCCAGCCACCCGCCCCTTTCCTTTCACCCAGCGACTTCAACAGTCACGTTACTGTCTGGAGATGTGGCAAGACGAACCGCATGGGTCGGTGCTCCCCACTCCATAACGGCCTCTGTTTTCTGAAAACTGGCAAGTCACGCATATGACATTACGTCGGCTAACAAACTGAGCTATCAACCTGCCAGTATGCTAACCAATTTTTCTGTCCCGCACCTCTTGGTTTGTACAAAACGACCTGGGTAGTTATGGCCATTTCCCGATTTGACTAAAGTCGGATATAGAATATAGCTATGCATATATATATATATATATATATATATATATATATATATATATATATATATATATACATATATGCATATATATATATACATACATACATATATATATATTATATATATATATATATATATATATATATATTTACATACATATGCATATACATATATATAGGCATATAGCTGGATATAGATATAGCGCAACTTTGTGTCCAACCCAGGAGATAGAGTACACAGGATACAGATTGGGAGGCTTCCACCCGGGGGTATGATACATTTATCACTCCTGAAGAAGGCACAGTGCATCGTTACTCCTGGACAACTGACGAAAACCCTGATAACACCGGGTGATGCCTGCATGCGTTGGACATCCAGCCATCTACGTAAAATTCCTTCCCGGTGGTGAACCTCACAATGCAAAGATACTTTGAGAGAAAGTGGAAAGACGGCGCCCTTGAAAAAGTTTAACAAGCACCAAACGACATAGAATTCGATTGTCTACAAACATTTAAAGACCATAGCCCAGCGGGATGTTCTGAATGCAAAATACGCGTATTGGAGGGAATATTTGTCCAAAGTTAGTAGACTTTCTCCACTGAAACAGGCTTGGTCTAGAATTCAGCGCATCGCTGGGGAATTCTCCTCCGCTCCTCCTCTTCCAATATTAATTATTAGTGGTGCCGTCGTTACGGACCCTGTCGAGGTGGAGAACGGAATTTGCAAAAGTCCCCTTAGAACGATGCCGATTTGGGACAGGCAATCCAGAGTTTATCCGGTGCAGGGCGCGGTGTGAATCGTCCCGATAGAGCTACTTGTTAAGAGAGACGCAATCCTATAACTCGCCTGCTGCATTGTCCGAAATGCATGGTGCCGCGACATCCTTAAAGCACATTTCAGAAAGTCCCGACTGCATTTATAATTTGGTGCTCCGTTGTTTACCACCAAAGGCCACTTGAGAAAATTGAACACCGAACAGCGCGCGATCCTTCTTGATGCATTTAATTTCACGTGGACATGCAACAAAGGAGATTCTCTTCCTAAAAAAAAAACAATCGCAGTACCCCTGTTCAAGCCTGGTAGAAGGGAAAGGTCTGCAAAACTACTGTCCCATAACTTTGCCATCATGTGTATGTAAACTGTTTGAAGAAAAAGCAAGCGCCCGTCTTATTTGGTTCTTAAAAAACGTCTTATTGTTTCTAACGCTCAATGTAAATTCAGAAAAAAATCACTGTGAAAAATCAATTCTTCTGTTTTTTTTTCCGAGGAATAACGCTGTTACTGCTGTCTTATCCACGTGAATGTTATTCCTCACAAATGTACTGGGCAACTTACGTAACCACGACATCTTTTAGCTGTCGCCTGATACAGTGAAAAAGCCTATGACACGAATTGAAAACATATTATTTTAATGAAACTGCACAAATATCTCATCAGAAGACACATGGGTGTTTCTGTCTGATTTCGTAA